GCTCTGCTCTCCTTCCATAGTTACAGACAGCACAGCTGAGCTTGTCTTTTGGGATAAAAACTTGGGATAAAAAAAAAGCTGGATGCAAACACAACATCCCCATCTCTCACATTAACTCTTGCTCGCATGCATATTGTTCAAGCGTCACATGAGCCAGTCACCGACCGCACGTGCAGGGCGCACGGCTTTGCCAGTGAGAGAGGAGGCGCCGGGTAGTGCGCATGATCGAGAGTAAGCGCTGAGACCACCCGGCGATCTCGTGTTATCCTTTACTCAGCTCTTCAATTTGGACTAAACTACTGTCATTAGTGGAGATATCGGCGCGATCAGTGGTATTTGAGTTCCTAGAAATCTTAAGCAACTTTTAAGTTATTTATCTCAACGCTGACGGGAAGGTTTGTTGAGGCATTTCAGCACCGGACAGCGCTTTCTCTCTGCTTGGCTCACAAGTGCGCGTCTGGCACGTGGCAATGACTATCCGTCATAGCTGGTGGGGGGCAAAAGGAGAGAGCATGGCGGACTCTCCATAATATCCTCCCCACAGCTGCTGCTAACACGAACCACGAGATATGAGCATACCGGAGTTCCTTCTGGAAGTGTCCATTGTGATAATAGCTGTTGTCTCTCTGCTGACCAACTTGTCGGTGCTGCTATGTTTCGTTCAGAGCAGCGATTTAAGAGCCCATGTACCAGGATTCTTTCTGATTAATCTCTCTTTATATTTCTCCTTCTTTCTCTTCTGCTGTTTCTCCCGATATTTCTTCCTTCTTCTTAGCAACTGAGAGGTGCTGGTTTTTCTTCACAGCAGTTTAGCCATTCGATTACACACTCAATAACAATAATCCCACTGAGGAAAGCAGCATGACAAAACACCAAAAGAAGTGATGTACTTTCAACCAAAAGAAAGTACATCACTGGGGCTATTGCAGCACATACTGTAAATATGATCTTCTAGAGCCTGTTAATAATTAAATATAAATGTAGCCTTTGGGGACACAGAGGATGAAACACATGAAGAAAATAGGAAAGAAAACACAGCCCACTCGCTGCCCTAAGATAACATAAACTGAATAATGTGTGTATAATGAGGAAAAAGATGTCCATCAGTCACACTCACAAGCCCGCACATGTTTTTAGGCTTCAAACACATTGTGTTTGAACTGTGTTTGAACTAACTGTGCAAGCATTAGATTTTACATGTGACAGGAATTATCCATGTAACCTTAAATCAATGCTAGCACAGAAAACAAAATACTGCAGTTCAGTGCAACAGA